CTATCTATCTATCTATCTATCTATCTATCTATCTATCTATCTATCTACCTATCTATATTGATTGGATACGTTATTAGAGTTTTGCAACGTTAATGCAGCACCAGAAAAATAAACACAGATGGCTGATGCTTCATTTAACCTCTTTATAAACATAATAAGTAGATTTTACAAACCAGTTGTAGATTTCTCCCACATGGAGCAAACTCCGACAGAAACATGTTGCAAGTAACTTCAGTAGCAAGCATTATATACACCAGAGGAGAGAAGCAGTTTCATTTCAATAGACCGACTCAGAACTTAACATAGCTTCTTATATGGAGCCATGCCTAGACTACTTCTAGTTTCAGTTTCCAGCCTAGGCTACTTCTAGTTTCAGTTTCCAAAACAGTCCTCATTGACTGACTTAGTTGCTATGCCTATTCATTGGCTGACCTTGTCACCATGCTGTATTCCAGTTCATGAATATACTCTGACATACATCATATTGGCACAAACTGGTGAAAGCCGACTCTGAGTTTTCCCGTGGCTTTCACCTGATTAAAAGTAAAACTTTTCTTTTTCTCCCCCCAAGTCACTGGTCACATTGTCCAATCCAAGTGCTGGCCGGCCGCTTGGTTACTGTCTCCTCCTCTGACCAGCCACCTGTGCGAATGTCCTTGGTTCCCACAGGAAAACTTTATTGTTTTGGCTACAAAACCCCATCTAACTATTTCCCCCCCCCCCCCACCGGTGCGTGGCAACCCTGGAGCCTCCAAGATGGCTTCAGCCAGGCTCTTTTCAAGGTTGACAGGGCCTTTGGATGTGTTTCTGAGGCACATCTGCTTTTTTAGTGATTGCTTTCTCTCACAACTACAGTGAGTATGCTTTGTTTTAACACAGAAGATATTCATTCTTTGTATTGCTGACCAAAGTTGTTCAGACTGGGGCAACCTATAGTTGAAAGGGAAGGGAGAAGGGGGAGGAGGAGGACAGACAACAGAAGGGATAAATGTAGATGCACAATGAATATGTGTAATTTGTGCCTTTGAGTCAGCACTGACTCCTAGCAACTACATGGAATTCTTCTTGGCAAAATTTCAGAAGTGTTGTGTCCTTCCAAGGGCCAAGAGAGAAGGACTGGCCCAAGGTCACCCAGGTGGCTTTGAATTCATGTTACTCCTCAGACACTATTTTCATTCCTGTTTTGCCTTTCTGCTCCCAGCATCCACCACAAAGAAGGAAGCGACACCAAAGCCCTCTTTAGGAGAACTCTCCATCTCTGAGGCCACCAGCAACTCTGTTCTTCTCTCTTGGACCATCTCCACGGGGAGCTTTGACTCCTTCCTGCTCCAATATAAAGATGAGGAGGGCAGAACCCAAAGACTGACTGTGGAGGGAGATTCGCACAAAGTCACCATTTTGAATCTGGCTCCATCCCACAAGTACAAGTTCAACCTTTATGGAATTTCTGGTGAAAAACGTATTGGTCCTATTTCTTCTGAAGCCACCACAGGTTAGCTCTCCTCCTCCTCCTTTTCCTTCCTCCTCTTCCTCCTCCTCCTCTTCCTCCTTCTTCTCCTTCTTCTCCTCCTCCTCCTCCTTCTCCTCCTCCTCCTCCTCCTCTTCCTCCT